GATGAATGGATCAAGAAGATGTGGTTTATCTATACCATGGAATACTACATGGCAATGAGAAACAATGAAATCTGGCCATGTGTAGCAACATGGATGGACCTTGAGGGTGTTATGCTGAGCGAAATAAGTCAGGCAGAGAAGGACAAATATCATATGTTTGCACGTATAGGAGGATTAGGAGGAACTTGACGGAGGAACAAGGGGGAGAAGGAGGGCGGAAATGGTGGGGGAAAGGGAGAGAGGCAAACCATGAGAGACTCTTGAATGCTGACAAAAACTGAGGACTGATGGATGTGGGGGGGAGGGGGGGATGGGCATGGAGGAAGGCACTTTGGGGATGAGCACTGAGTGTTATGTGGAAACTAATTTGACAATAAACTATTTGTAAAAAAAAAAAAAAAAAGAATCTTCCCAATCACTCTACTTTTCCTTGCAAGGAAGGGGCTTCAGGGGCTGAGTGGCTTGTCTTGGGACTCTCCCATGGTGAGGATGCAGCCATGACCTCCCAGAATTGTATCTGAGCCAAGCTCTCTGCTTCCTCTTCCTGCAAGTCTTCTGGCATCAGATCCTTCAGGAGGTCTGGTTAGCACGTTGTCAGAATCACCTCCCAGGACAATTGACTACTTTGCATCAAAGGATCCATGTCAAGTGGACCTTTTTAGGTAGCATTTGGTGTTCAATGACTCCATCCATCAGATGGAAAGGGTGCATTATGGCAGTATTTCATTTCTGTCTTCCTTCTCCTTCGAAGGCTACAATGTACCCAGGTTGGGAGTGCCTTTCATGTAAAGGGAAAAGAAGAAATGTGCACTGTTCACTGTTCTTCCTCACTTTACAGGATGATGACCTGCTCCCTCTAGCCTCCCCTGCTGACTCATTTCTATTTGGTGACCTGCTACATGCTGGGATTGATCAGATAGGCTTGGCATAATGCATGCAGTTTTCTACTATGTACATGGCAATGTGGCTGCATCTATGGACACTAGTCCAGTGGGAGCCTCTTCAGGTGTCTCCTGAGTACATTCACATGATCTGATGGATAACACATTCTCTTTCCTCTTTGCCTACCTGCCCCAGGCCTGAAATTGACCACTAATGCCAGTTCCATTTCATGGCAGGCTGCATTTAAGGCTCTTTGAATGAAGCAGAGCAACAGTCACACAGGCAACCCTCTCCAACATGGCACTAGATAGGGGTTTGGCTGAGGCTATTCCTGAAGTCAACTGGACACAAGCTGGCATGTCCCACAGGACCAGGTCAGACTTCACATGGGATAGTCATAACCTAGGACATCCCCTGTTAAAGTAAGGTTGAGCTCTCTGAAGTGATGGTTGGGGGCATAGGAAGTTTCCAGTGGCCCATACATGCAGGCCAACATGCTGTCACCTGTCGAGCAAGTTTTGGGAAGGAAGATCCACTCTCTACCCTCACTTCACGGTCTCACCAAGGAATTGGGATTGTTTGAACATGCAAAGAAAGGATTTCGTCTTCACTTCCATAGATCTGTACTCACAATGACACAGATGCCCTCCACAAACTCATTCCAACTCAGGAGTTAGAGGTAAAAACAGCATACAGACACCACTTCCTCGAGAAGAATTGGTTCCAAGGATCATGTGGGGACATTGCCCCTGTTATCTGCTAGGGCTGGAAGAACTGTGGTCCCCATACTGATCAGATTCCAGCATGCAGCAGTGTCCCCACTTCCCCCCTGACATTTGCAGGTGGGGGTCTAAGGGTTAGGGCAGGGACTCCCAGGCAGTGGTTTTGTATATGCCTGTATCACAGTGTTTTGTTTTTTGGCCAAGGGATCTGGCTGACCATCATAGGTGAGTCTCATCTCCCTCTTTCCCTGATCTCCTAAACGTTTGGGCAATTTTCTGCTATCTTTTTTTCTTTCTGTGTCTTTTCATTCTTTCATCTGGGACCCCAGTCCCTGCAAACCTGATCTCCTTCCCTCCCTATGCAGACTGTCCTGTTTGCTTCCTTGTCATTACATCCCCTCCCCTACTTCATGAGAAGGAGGTGATGGTCAGGGTCACCTAATAGTTCTTCTATGGGTCTTCCAAGATCATCCTGGGACCCACATGTGTTCTTTTTGTCCACTCTTGTAAGGCTTTCTATTGAAAATCTCTGTCTCTAGGAGTCACTAGGCATTCCCATATAAAAGGGAAGAGAGAACAGGGAGCGTTGAGAGGGGTGACCATGTGGAACATTTACAGGGACATGGCACCCTCAGAGCCAAGGCTGAGAACACACACGACAAGATTCAGTAAAAGGGCTGCAGTTTAGAGTCTCAGGGTTTGGAGTCAGCAGTGGTGCAGGTGGAACCTTCCCCTTAGGCCATGTGGGGCTGCTGTGTAGAGGCCTGAGCTGGCCTGGGGACTCAGGAAAACTTGCCAGAGGGAGGCTGGAGCTTGTAGGAGTAGATGCCAGAGAAAGAGTCATAGAATGAGAGGATGTGAGACATGAATGGACTCTTGAGTCTCTGCAGGACACACATTAGCAACAGACACAGGAGAAGATATGGCATGAAACTTTAGTGATATGACTGACTTGGAGGACACAGGGAGTAGTGCTGCAGAAAGACTATGGAATGAGAGTGATGCAAGACCAGACAGACAGATTCTATGATCAGGAGATTCCTATGCCATCAGGGACAACCTAGGAGAGACACATCTGGGTAAAAACAGACTCCTTAGGGCAAAGACATCACAGAAGTGTCAAGATAGAATGGTCCATAGGCTGAGTCAACAGGAAGTCAGAGAGCTCACATCATAGTTCTGGCCATGGACGGACAAACACTGGGACACACACTGTCAGAATGTCAGGTGAGACAGGAGCAAGACAATGAGACTTTGATGTGTCTGTGGACTGAAAGGTTCCAGGAGAGTCTCAGGATGGGTGGTGATAGGAATCCTCCTCAGAGTTTCCCAGGGCAGGGAGGGAGATGATTGAAGAACACCTTAACCCACCACCCACCCACCCCCGCACTCCACGACATGAATTCGTAGAGTGGCAACTGTGGGACTGACTAAATGCTCAGGTACCTGTACACACATGAAGAGCAAGGTATATTGAAGTGAACCCACCATGGAAGCTGAGCTTCTGACCTTCTTCCCTTTCCCCACCCACAGGTCAGCCCAAGTCCTCGCCTTCAGTAACCCTCTTCCCGCCCTCCCCTGACGAACTCAGCACCAACAAGGCCACCCTGGTGTGTCTCATCAGTGACTTCTAACCCAGCGGCTTGATGGTGATCTGGAAGACAGATCGCACCCCCATCACCCAGGGTGTGGAGACCACCAAGGCCTCTAAACAGAGCAACAACAAATACACAGCCAGCAGCAACCTGGGCCTGTCACCTGATCAGTGGAAATCTCGCAGCAGCTACACCTGCCAAGTCTCACACTAGGGGAGTACCATGGAGAAGAAAGTAGTCCCTGCAGAGTGCTTTTAGTTGCCGAGACCCTCATGACCCAAGTGAGTGTACAGTCGTTGGACCTCCAGGAAGGATTCCCCTTGCACCAGAATCATTCCATTCCTTCTCCCTTCATTCAATCAATGCTCCATAACATGTCCTTTTTTTGGGTCAGATTTTGTGTTCTCTGGTCATTTGGGTTTAACATTATAATATCCTGAACTCAACCATTCTTGGGGTTAACCCAGGTTCTCTGGCTTTATGGGGAGGAGAGCAGAGCAGCCCCCATGTTTCTTTGTGGAGTAGATTACCTCTCGCCCAAATTTGCACATGAAATATTCCATACTCTCAACAGAAGCAGCAAGACCCTGATTACCAAGGTCCACACCTGACCTATGCTTGCCAGACTTCTGTAGGTCATGTCCACCCCAGCCATTTCCGTGATCACAACCCTTAATGCCCATGGCTTCTTAGTTAGTCTCCAGTCTCCTTTCCAGTCCTGGGACCTTAACCATTGGGACTAGCCCAACTCCTAGGATGTCCCATTCTCCCTTTCTTGATGGCCCCCATGCAAGGTCATGCCTTCTGTGGTTTCCTACACATTTGGAAACTTCTTAACATCACATCCTAGACAATCCTTCCTTCCACAGGGGACTCCATGCCCCTTTCTCCCCAGGAACATCACATTGTTCCCTTCCTCAGATCTGTCCTGGTGCACTCATTACAGGACACTCAGTCTCTGAACCCTGGTCAATATCTCCCACACTCCCACTGGGGACATCTCCTTCCACATGTGTCATGGAGGAGCCAGTTGTATTCAAGGCCTCTGGGAGACAGAGACACCTCGGAGTCATGCACAAAACGGACCTTACCAATTCCCCTGAAGTTAAAATGTCCATGCATAGGAGCACCTGGGTGGCTCACTTGGTTGAGTGTCTGACTTTGTCTCAGGTCATGATCTCACAGTCCATGGGTTCGAGCCTCGCATTGAGCTCTGTGCTGACAGCTCAGAGCCTGAAACCTGCTTCAGATTCTGTGTCTCCCTGTCTCTCTGCCCCTCCCCCATTTGCTCTTTGTCTCTGTCTCTCAAAATAAAAAAATAAAGACATAAATTTTTTTAAAAAATATCCATGTGTATTCACCAAGGCCATGAATCGAAGTCAAGATCCCATTCTGAATTGTGCCATGGATCTATCTGTGAGCACAGTCCTTTTTTGGAAAGTTGGGAATGGGCCTTGAGAACCAAGAAGACTCCTGTGCTAGAGGCTAGCTCAGGATCGCAGGTCTGGGCTCCTTGCCACACAGACAGACTGGGTATGCACACACACACACACACACACACACACACACTAAACTTGCAGGCACACACCAGGACACACACATACCTGCTATTGCACACATGGGCATGTTGGGGGTGTGTCTAGAACATGTGGTAACATCCAGAACCCTCCATGGGCCTCAGTTCTGCAAGGGGTACATGCCCCATGATGTCTGTGTTGGAAACCGTGCTGTCCGATCTTCCAGATAGATTCCCCAAGCAAGCTAAGCCATACACTGTGCTCCTTCCAGAAGCTACCTGGGTTATGATATGTCACTCAGGCATTCCCTCCTATCCCTCCATGGAGGGGCTGCAGGGAAGCTTTCACCATGGGGAAAGGAAGTGCACAGGGGAGGGGGACCCTGTCTCAGGCTCCTATGGGGCAAGTCAACCCCTACAAAGAGGAGGCTGGACTTTGAGCTTCCCAAGCAGCTGCAGGTGGGTCTGGGGCAGGGGGAGGGGTGCCACTGCTGACAGAGGTTTGTGCTCAAAGCTGTATCACTGTGTTATACTGTCAATGGAGGAACCAAGGTGACCGTCCTCAGTGAGTCTCAATTCTCTCTCTTTGGCAATCAGAGTGACAATTGGGCATTTTTCTCTTCTTTCTGTCATGACTGTGCTTGAGGTCAGAAACTCTCCAGGGTCTGGAACCTTCACTGTTTGGGGCTGTCCCTCACCACTTTAGCTTGTTCTCTCTTGTCACACTCCTGGTCAGGGCAGCTCAGGCCAGTCCCAAGGACCCCTTCCTGTTCTTTCTCACTGTCACCCAGAGCACTTTATGGAGGGCTTCTCCTCCAAACTCTGGGATGTTCAGCTCTCTTGGAGTCTCTCATTCCCCAGATGTGTGGAAATGAGGGACTCAAGGAACACAAGACTGGGGGACTCTGGCTGGGGCACCAGGGCCATGGGACCATGGAAGGATGCTTGCACAACTCATGAGTTCAATCAATTAGTGTCCTCAATCACATTTGAATTCTATGCACTCCGGGTTCTAGGTGGGAACTACGTAGAAGTTATGGGAGAACTCTTGATTGGCCATGAGATAGAAGAGAACCCAAGGTAAGGGAGACAAGGACAGAAGGATGATTTCCTAGGACAAGGTGGCTTCAGAGTGCTGGGTCCGTCATCCTCCTTTGAGACAGGCAAGACCTCCTCAGACAGGACAGGACTCAGGATGCTCAGGCCCCAAAACTTACCACACCCATAAGAATGTTGGAGGAGAGACCCCTGAGTGGATGCTGGGGTTAGTGACTCCACAGATACAGGAGACAGGGATAGCCTCTGCCCCTACCAAGCTAGGGCAATGCTAGGGCAGCAGTCCCCCAGAGATAACTTCACACACAAAGTGACCCCTCAGAGTAGCCCCAGATCCAGTCTCAGAACAACAAATTCACCTCTCCCAGAAAGTCTCCACCTGCTAAACTAGATTGCAGCCTGGGGGCAAATGCTCTCTCCCCCTCAGGCAACCTTAAAGGGTCTTTGTCAGGAGATGGGCAGGGGCTGCAATGGGTGATCAGCAGGAATGTGGCCAAGAAACCCCCTCCCAGAAGAGGATGCGAGTTTAACACTTGGACAGAGAGACACCTGCATGAGTGCCCCTATGAGATGGATCTGGCAGGACATACCACAGGACAGACAGATTCCACAGGGAAGGATTAGATGTCAAGTATGATAAAAGTCAGTAACATGGAGCCTGGGGGCAATTAGGATAGTGATGAGGCAAGGTGAACCTGAAGAGGGAGAAAAGCCACAGATGGGCTCAGATCACCAACAGATGGGCATTCAGTTTCTCTCCAACAGAACTGAGTGACTCTACCAATTGCTGACCAGATCTCGGGGAGCAAAAGGCAACTGAGGCCCAAGCCCTGGACATGACAGAGATGTACCCCATATCAAGATGGAGGCAGGAGGTGACCGAATGAACATGTGAACTCTGACTTCTTGCCCCTCTCCTGCCCCACAGGTCAGTCCAAGTCAACCCTCTTAATCATGCTTTTCCCACCCTTCCCTGAGGAGCTTAGCACCAACAAGGCCACCCTGGTGTGCCTCATCAGTGACTCTATCCCAGCGGCTTGACAGTGACCTGGAAGGCAGACGGCACTCCCATCACCCAGGGCGTGGAGACCATCATGGCCTCCAAACAGAGAAAGAACAAGTACACGACCAGCAGCTACCTGAGCCTGTTACCTGACCAGTGGAAATCTTGCAGCAGATTCACCTGCCAGGTCATGCACAAGGGGAGCACCATGGAGAAAAATGTGGTCCCTGCAGAGTGCTCTTAGGTCCCTGAGATGGTCAGAGATAGGGGCTTCTTCATCCAGACACTGCTTCCCCAGCTCACCATGTACCCCTGAGAACCAACCCCTGGATCAGCTTAGACCAGGCAGGTCACACACCCTCCCTGTTTGTACTTGTGCTCAATAAAGACCTCAGCACTTATCATTGACATTTCTGGTTACATTCACTGTTCCTCCTTGCTCTGGGTAAGCCTCAGTAATTAGGGATAGACTTGTCAAGTGAGAACCTATTTACCCATTTTTCTTGGTGCTTGTCAGTCATGACCCAAAGAACAAATTGTCCTATGGACAACTCAAGGGTTGCAGTCCTTGTTCCCATGGGAATGGAGATGGGTCAAGTGAGACAGACTGGGGTCCCAGGGAGGATCATCAGAAACAAGGAGTGTCCAGGGGACAATGGGTCTGTTCAGATTTGCGTGTGGTCAGTGAGGCTTAGCGTCATCCTGGCTCTTTCTGGGACCTCAGCCATGAAAGTCTGGACCCCTGACATATTAACTATGGTTTGGTTATGGATGGAGCAGATGATGTCAACTTCATAACATGTTTGGTGGGGGTGGGGGGGTCATAGGAGAACAGAGTGACTAGGAAAGGGCACCATCTCAGCCACAGAAAGGGCTGCCAGTGATTGTCTGAAAGACGGAGTAATTTCAAATTCAGGAGGAGAGTTAAGGCAGGTCAGGCCGTCCAGAGACCCATGGAATGGCCAAGCTTCCCAGGGGTTGCAGAAACCCCAGACACTAAGCCCCAGGACTCCTCCAGCCTCCAACACTATGGAGGTGCACTACAGAGTTCACCTGCAGCTTTTCCTCATGGGCACACTCACTGCAGGGCTGAGGCACTCATGTTAGCCTCTCAGAGGTGCAGGCCATGCTCACTCTGCCAGTTCTCCAGTTCTAGTTCTGACAGATACCCTCTCTGAGCCTCCAGCTCATCAGGGTCAGGGAGCTGCCTTCACCAGACTTTCAGGGTTCAGGACTGCCCAGGGACAGAACCTCCAAGGGCAGCATGCTCTGGGGCAACAGTAGGTCAGAGGACAGAGGTCAACAAGGAGCTCTTTAGCAGCCACCAGTCCCCAAATCTACCCAAGAGATGATAGAAACTTTGGGATCAGCACCTGTATGAACCCATTTCACATATGGGAAACTAAGACCTCAAGGGACAAGGGGCCACTCAGGCTTCCCTCATCCCAATGATCCTGCTGGGGA